ATACAGGAAAAAAAATGGGAAACGAGACTCATCTCTTCTTAGCGGAAGTAATAGGGTGTTTTCAGTGTCCCGCAATGGAAAAATGAATTTGAAACCCAGCAGCGAAAGAAGCGAAGAAAACGAAATGTTTCAGATAGGAGAACAGTCATGACCTGCACTGGAGGCGTATTTTGGGCGGGCGAAAGCTGCTTGTTTATGTTCGTATTGTTATAAGCGCCATCTTTGATTTTATGACAGAGGAAGATTAGGGAGAGTAAAAATAGTAACCCTTAGGATAGGTGCTAATTTCAAGCATTTTCACCTCTCTTCGGGAGTTTCATCGCGCGATTTCTCGAGCAAAAATATTGGCGCGCCCGAAGAAACGCCCGCACAGTAGGCCATAGGAGAGTCATGAACATACAACGAATCCAAGTCTCTCGTCTGTACGGCGCATCGTTGTTAGTTATCTTCCGAAAAGTTTCGCCCAACTTTCAAGCTTTGTATGGAGTGTACCAACATGGGATGCTCAGAAATACATTTTGTACAGCTTGAAATATTAAACTGCTGAAAATCATAAGGAGAGAGCTTTTCTTTAACCAGACATCACTGCGGAGGCAACCACAGTGTTGTTGCGTGTTGTCAGGAACTGTGAAAATTAGGAAACTCCTACAAAGATTTATTTCTCGGTTACCGACAACCTGGTGTAAATAAAAACTCAAAAGGCCTCGCTGTTTTGACTTTAGAGTTTCAAAAGTTTGATGACCTTCTGGTGAACACATGGGGACGAAGAACAACTGGGAACGAGTTCTTTGTACTTTGTCCCAGTGCCTCTCTGACGCCTGACGGATTTCAACTTGTTCAAAATCGCTCCCTTATGATCAACAGTAATGTGAAGCATATTCGACATTTTCATCAAAGTTGCAATGCCCAGAAAACATTGTAATACCTTTGGAAGGTGTTCTGATGGTATCGATTTCCATAATGATTTCGAAACATCTTCAAAGTGGACTGGAATATATACCAAATTATGAAGAAAGATTCCGACTTTCGTTCTAGTTCACGCTTATTATATTTCCTCGCTACAAGAGAATATTTACTACACACTATGCTGTGTATTTTACTACCCGCACTTTATTATGTAAGTAATATTTTGAAGAGAACTTTGGAATACTTTGCCAGTCATAGTTAATTTCTCATTGTCATATCCTTAAAATGAACTTGTACGTTTAATTTTTAGGTATGCTCGTACATTTTGGACAGCAAAATGGGGACAGACGGTCTATTACTTTGTCATGTCTTCATTTAGCTTTATTGACTTACGTGTAAATGCAGCCTAGTCCCTAGGCGTTCTCGGCTCGGTCAATCCTGGACTCTACCGTGAGCTGTGACGTCACCGAGAGAGACACGCCGAGAACGCCTAGCCAATATTGCCAGATCAAATATGGCGGCCGTTTCGCCAGGTTACTGCAACTTCAGCCAAAGGTAGCTGAAAATCCGTCATTTGAACAGGAATGGTTTCTATGTGCATGCCACAGCGAAAAACAGTTTCGGTTTCTTAAAAAAGGATCCGCGAAACCAAGGCTTGTTCAACTTAACTGGACTTTCACGCGCAGCAACAGGTACCAATGAATCTCTGGACGATAGAGGAGCCGAGGTTAAGGACTGTCGTCGAAAGAGGAAACAAGACAAACCTGTATATTGTCAACATATGCTTTATTACGGCATTTCTGGGCATTTTCAAGCACTCGCTAATGTTTTAAAACGACGCATCAAAAGTGTCTCTCCAGAAAAAAATTAGTAAATAAACACAAAAAGTAGGTGTTGCGGGTCTTGATTCACTTCGTATTATGTATATGTTTTACTAAAGTGACGGTTTCCAGCAGAAAAAACAGCACATCTTTCTTACATTTATCAGGAAATACAGATATTTGAGGCCCAGATGGGTGTCTCGATACCGCACTTAAATTTTTGACAGCTATATTTGTATACAGTAAATTAAGCTTAAGTTTATGTTTGATAAAGAAAAAACTCGATTTTCGGTGTTTTGCCATTGAAGATGTAAAAGATACTGTGTAAACCCGACTGGTATGGTTATTGAACGGTTGTGTGCTTATAGAGCTATTGTTGACAAACAAACCCCATTTTAGGAAAAACAGATATCACAATGTAAAGCACTTAAAAAAATACTTTATTTGGCATTGCATATCTGAATTGAAAGAATCATGAACTTGGGCAGAAGTTCTTCTTTTCTTCCCTTCTCTCTCTCTCCCTGCAGGCTTCTTTTCTTGTGCCATGCCACCAGAGTTTGGTTCCTTTATTCTTTTTTCCCCAGTAAGTTTCTCATTAAAATACCTGAAATTTAAAAGGTACATACAAATGTGGCTCATGATTAGAAAATTGAAACCATTTGTATAAAATAAAAAAAATATTTCCATCTAAAGAGTGAAATTGTAACAGGATCGCTTTAAAATGATAGGTTTTTACCTGATTAAGGATGCATGGACAACATGAATTTTAGTGTGAATGTAAGACCCTATTAAGAAAATATTATTATTTTGCAGATCTATAAATGCTATCTTATTGTATTTGTACTTTGACCCTGCAATAAATTAAATAATATGCACCACCCTTCCCATCTTTTTCTGCCTGTCCCAATATAAAACCCACTGGGATCAAAAAATAAGATACTGGCGGATTTATAATGAAGCCATAATATGCTGTTAAGGTTGCCTAGTTTAAAATTGCTGTGTGACAATAATGAAATAGTTGGAATTTTTCAAATAAGCAAATATAACTATTTAATTTAATTAAAGTAAGAATTACATCCCCAGGTATACAATAATCAGCTGAAAGATTGGATAATAAATTATTATTATATTTGTTGGAATTAGCCTCATTGTAAAAAAAGTGATATAAATAAATACATAATTGCACAGTTGTACCTATTTTTCCAGTCTCTTCTGCTGACTGGTCTTCACTGATGGACTGTTTGGCAATTTCCTTGTGACCTTTCTTACAGAACATACAAAGAAGGACAAAAAGAATATCCTGCAAAATCATTAAATATACATCAGACAAACTTTAAATGGCTTCAGGTTTACCCTAAAGGTCATTTTATTTCCAGTGGCTACAACTCACTTCTTCAGATCTTAAAAAATACAAAGTCAGAAATCAATTAAGCTAAGTTATAGTATAGAGATGTAAAAGAGGATGGGCACGAGGCAAACTTTCGAAAATAAATAAATATGTCAATTATTGTTGTTCATTCAAAACATGTAGCCATTTTCAACTGCCTCAAGCCCCCAGCTAATTCATAACCAACAGGAACTTTTCATATTTGGAGGATGCAAGCAATATACCCTTTATCCCATGATATATGGTTTTAGAAGCACGGTTAGTACATGGTATATTTGGTATGGTCGTCCGAACGTTTCAAAATTCGCTAAACTTAAATTCGTTGTCGCTATCTTGAATTCGTTGTCGCTAAATTTAAATTCGTTGTCGCTAACTTGAAGTCGTTGTCGCTAAATTTTATTTCGTTGTCGCTAAATTTTATTTCGTTGTCGCTTACTTGAAGTCGTTGTCGCTAAATTTATTTCGTTGTCGCTAACATGAAGTCGTTGTCGCTAACTATCAAGGCGCTAAACTTAAATTCGTTGTCGCTAACTAGGAAGTCGTTGTCGCTAAAATTAAGTGAACTCGGTATCGCTAACTATACCAAGGCGCTAAAATTTACTAAGGGAGTGGAGAGAAGGGATTTGAAGGTTTCCGTATGAAACCGAGGAGGCCTAGAAACAAGTCAATTTTTCGTTTTTGGGCCTCCTATGTTTGGGAGCAAACATGGCGGCCTGGGCACTACTTAGGGCAGGATTGGGCATTTGGGCAGGGCATGATAGTTCTTCCCACGTGCTTTTTCGAAAATGGCGGACGAGGCCATAGTTAACAAGGTATGAACTTGATATGATGAAAGCCTTTCTTTTATAAACATACATTGTTTTGATTTTACAACAAACATTTTTTTCTTACATTTTTTCCTCTTCTCCAGGGATTTAACATTCTTAAGGCGAATGGTATCGCTAACAATATTGTCGATGCCATTCGCAATGAGAAGGTAAGTTGTTCTCTACTGTTATTGCAGTGTTTGCAGCAAAATGCAAATTTATTATTGGACTTGCTGTTAGTGGAATTTGTTTTTGGTGTCCAGTGTCATAAATTAAATTGTTTCTGTGCTATCTAGGTAACACTGTCCATGATATGTCGCGGAGAAGTAACAGATGACGACTCGAAGCGACTGGGGGCCAATACAATTGGGGATCGGCTGAATATCAGAAGAATAAGTAGAGAAGCTTCGCGTATGTTCATATATCAAACTATTTAGGCTCATACATGAGACAAAAATTAATTTACGAGAGCATTTGCTTGACATTTTTCAGGTTTATGACATGGCTCTTCTGGAGTACCAAGGAGAAGGGAATGAGGGCGGGGAAGGGGGGGGGGCTTTTAAGCACCCTCGTTGATGATAAGAGGCCGTTGAATAATAGGTAATTGGGCAGAATAGTTCATCCATATGATGCATTTAGGCTTCCCTTCCTCTCCCCTTTCTTTTTCCTGTATTAAATTTGCAATTTGCATTATTTTAGGCAATGTCTGCATCATGTAGCATAACAGTTTAAGCAATCTTTTTTAAAAATATTGTTATTACTGGGTGTACAAGAAATGGACAGCATACTATACCAAGTTAAGTTCAACACTAAAATCATTTTCTATGGTCTGCAGAGGATGTTGTCCAGGAGGAGCTGAAGAGGGTTTTTTTTAGCCCTACACAGTCTAGTACATCAACTGCATCGTCTGTCACATCAGCAAGAAATATCCTTGCATCTTTGCAGTCCAGTCAATCTCCTGTGAATCCAAATATGCATTCCTCTACCAATGTAGCATCTGTCCAGCCACAGTTCAATGCTCAGACAGATAAGTTAAACCGAAAAAGAGCTGGCTCAAAAAGACGTTTTTACAAGGGCAAAATGCCACAAGTACAAGTAAAAGAAGAGCTTAGAAGATTGGTAGCACTGGAATACCCAGGAGCAGATGTCCCAGAAGTTGACCAATTCAAAGATGAGATGGTGGTCTTTGATGGTCTAGTCATATATAGCACGGTTGATCCAGAGAATGCCATCAGAGAAAGAATCACTGCAAAGTTAAGAGAGCGAAGGGTTTCACATATTGATTTGTCACAATGTGATAAAAATGATTTTGAATTTGTGAAAGTGGTTAACAAAAAAATTCGTGTTCCAGATGGAGATGAGATGTTCGATGCTCGTACTTTGGGAGGTATTTACAAACATGGAGCATAGTATGTTAGGATGACAAAAGATTTTTCTTCTACTGTCAAAGAGGTAAGATATGTTTGCATGACGTATATGTTTTACTGTAGAATCAATTGGTTCCACATCGTACCTTTACCAAGTTACAAGCTTAGGTATCTGTTAACAGAAGTTTGTTGAGAAGTTGCTTCATATTTCTGTTTTTACTACTAGCATTTTCAGTCTAAATACCATACTAGCAAGTCCTACATTGAATCATTGCCATTTGTGTGACAAAATAGCAAATTATCTGATCCCATAGCGCATGGACCGCTTTCTTATTGCTCATAGTCTTCATTTAGCATACATGATAATAAAGTCAGACTGGCTTTGCACAGCCCAAGATATACATGTAAACTTCGTTTCATGGTTAGTGGAAACCATGCATGATAATAACCAAGTTAGAAACAACAGTAAGTTTATTTTACATAATTTACATTTTTTGTCTTCTATAACCTGCACTAAATGAATCTTGGAATTGTGGTAGGCATGACAGGACAGAAATACGACAGGGCAGCTCTTTTCATGATTTAAGGTGGCTCGACTGGATTTTTTTAGGGGGATACCTCCCAAGTTTGAGCCTTAACTACGTCGGCATGAGTTAAGACATGGAAAAAAGGTTACAACAACTGTATTACATAAAGATGAAAATTTCTTATGATCTGGGTTTTATTGCAATCGGAGTCGCCATGGCAACGTAATGACGCCATTACGTTTTCCATTTATCTTTATGTTTCTCTGTACCAGGAGTTTTTTGAAGAAATCGCTTAAGGGAGTATATACCTGCTATAATTGCCTCCATTATTGCAAAGTTTGAAGAAATTCTACGAGAGCGTTTTCGAAATATTTTGAAATGCAGTTTTAAGAATCATAAAAACAGTGAAATAGCATGCTAGCCGCACAATTCGCTAATATTTTAAGAAAATGATAAGCTTTGGGAACGTGGCGTCATCTCATAGTGGATTGATTCCATTGAAAACTGCATGCAAAAAAAGAGGGGAATTGCTCTGGGCGATCGCTAGTAAGAAGGATTTTATTAACTTGCATTCAGATGCTTTTGATACAGTTTTTGGAGGTAATTTGGTCCATGCCTAAAAATTTCGCATTTTTCCAAAAATCGCTCGATAAATCTTTTTATAAATTCGACAATTCCGAGATCAATCGTCAAAAAATATTCCCTGCAAGTTTTAAGAACATTAAAAACAGGGAAGGCTTTTAAATAGGGCCTCAAATATAGCCAATTTTTCCCCCAGATTTTGTGTTTACAAGCGAGCGTCCTCATTATTCACTGGCATTGTTTTCAAGTTTCATATACACGTGCACATTTAGCAAAAAGATAGAATTTGCATCAAAAAGGACCCTCGGTTAAATCTCCGGGATATGCTAATTACCGGGTAAAGAGGTTAGTGATACATTATAACATCAGAGCAACTCCTTGTGAGAGTTTCTGTGATGTTATAACCTGAGTAAGATAATTAAGTATTGCATCCTACACGATGAGCCGTGACGTTCACCGTTTCGGCTCTCACTGCTATCTGTGACGACAAGCCAATTATTAGCATATACCGGATATTTCTTCGGAAAGTAATCGAGAGTTCTTTTTGATGCAGATTTGTATCTTTTGCTAGTTGTGGACGTGCATATGAAACTTGAAAACAATGCCAGTGAATAATGAGGACGCTCACTTGTAAACACAAAATCTGGGGGGAAAATTGGTTATGTTTGAGTCCCTATTTAAAAGCCTTCCCTGTTTTCAATGTTCTTAAAACTTGCAGGGAATATTTCTTGACGACTGATCTCGGGACTGTCGAATTTATAAAAAAAATTATCGAGCGGTTTTTGGAAAAATGCGAAATTTTTAGGCATGGACCAAATTACCTCCAAAAACTGTATCAAAAGCAGCTGAATGCAAGTTAATACAATTCTTCTTACTAGCGATCGCCCAGAGCAATTCCTTCTTTTTTTGTATACAGTTTTCAATGGAATCAAACCTCTATAAGATGAAGCCACGTTCCCAAAGCTTATCATTTTCTTAAAATATTAGCGAATTGAGCGGCTAGCAAGCTATTTCACTGCTTTGATGATTCTTAAAACTGCATTTCAAAATATTTCGAAAACGTTCTCGTAGAATTTCTTCAAACTTTGCCATAATGGAGGCAGTTATGGCAGGTACATACTCCCTTAAGCGATTTCTTTAAAAAACTCCTGGTACAGAGAAACACAACGATAAATGAAAAACGTAATAGCGTCATTACGTTGCCGTGGGGACTCCGATTGCAACAAAATCCAGATTATAGGAAATTTTCATCTTTATATAATACACTTGTGGTAACCTTTTTTCCATATCTTTATTCATGCCGACGTAGTTAATGCTCAAACTTGGGAGGTATCAACCCCAAAAAATCCAGTCGAGCCACCTTAAAGATTTAACTTGAAGTGATGTTCCAAACTTTGAAGCATATCATTTGTCTCTATTGTTATCCTAACTAGTGAAAACAATTCTGTTGAATTGAATTAAAGCTGCTTGGACATATTCATGAAAATGTCAGATTTTTTGCTGATCAAAATAGCACCTCCCCCAAAGTACGAGGCCTTATTTCTCAAAGTCGCATTCATTAAAAAAAAAGTCATTTAATATTTTGTTCTTTGGCCCCAAAAGAGCATATTTACAAAATTTTGAGCTTATATATGCAAAGGTGTCCTTATTTGGAGAGGCAAAACATTTTCTGTCCTGTCTGTAGGTCTTACATTTTTGCATCCACAGAAATAAGGAATTACCCAACAAACGCAATTAATTTTTAGCTTGTACCTGTTTAACCATAGTTAATACTGGGAGTTCATGCCATAATGCAAACTGTTCTTTAATCATGCAAGAAGATGAGTTAATCCATGTAAGTGACAAAGAAAGTGTCATTGGAGATGGAGACTTGATGAAATCAGCTTTTGCCCCAAATTCAAGCAGTGGTACTGAACAACCTAGTTGCAGTGCAAGCTCTGCAAGTTCTTCAGGTGTTGGGTTGATTGACAGGCTGAAGGAAATGTTTCCAGATGTTGAAAACTCCATTTTAACTAGTGTTGCCCAGGTATCATCTTCACTTGATGAGGCAGTTGAAGAAATTTTGGGAGCACAAAGAGCACAAAGAAGTGCCCACCAAGTTGACGTGACATACAAGAAACAGAAGGTAAGATGGGATCTTACATAGAAATACAGTCCTGTGTGAGATCCTTAAGTACTCCTGTGTAATTAGATCCTAATTAGGATCCTGTTCTCATGATCTTTTTTAGGATCTTATTCCTAAACAGGATCCAACTGGGTCCTTGGTGTAGAATTTGAACAGGTATAGGAACTCTGCTGATTGTCAATGACTGGTGCCAGGAAGGCCGATCATGTCAAATTGATTTTGAAGTGCTTGCACTGGCTGCCAATTAAAGCTATGTGTAAACTACACTTTACAGTAAGATTCTTCCATAGAGTTACATAGTGCTCAATTCTTTATTTCCAGAATACAGAATGGAACTGCTTGTTCAATATAAACCTCTATATTCTGAGATGATGATGATATATATGATGATTTTCATTGTCTTTTGGCTGATATCCATAAATTATGATATCATATGTTTTATAGTCAAGAGTACTACACTTACTAGTAGAGAAATTGATGATGCATTTTTTGACTTTTTACAACACTATAATGTTTCAGAGAACAATACATTCTCGGAAATACATGAGAATCTTAGGAGGCAAGTCAATGGCAAGATAGTCAGGCTGACAGTCACTGAGGAAACAGCTGTTGAAGATGCTTTGGCCTACTATAAACACCCTGATTTTGATGCAAGGTGCCCCATACGAATCACATTTGAGAAGCAGCCAGCAGTAGATGCAGGTGGCCCAAGAAGACAATTTTATTCCATGGTATTTAGTGCTCTGGAAGATTTCCAGCAATATAAGCTGTTTGAGGGACCACCAGGGCGACTAATGCCAGTGTATTCCGCAAGTCATGTTTTTTCGGGGCTGATGAAAATACTTGGCAAGATGTTGGCACACTCTATAGTTCAGTGTGGGGTGCGCATGCCAGTATTTTCGCCAGTATTGTACTGGTATATCATTACAGGTGATGTGTCAAGGTCATTATCATATGCAAACCCAGAGGACATCAGGGATGAAGGTGCACTAAGCGTAATTGACAAGGTTTGTCATTAAAAGGGAATGCTCTGTATTTTACTGGGATATTTTTAGTTTTTTCCCTGGAAAGTTGACATTCAAAGCAGCTTCTTTTCTAAAGGTCTAATCCTTTTTAGCCTTATTTAGTATATAGGCTGGTTGAGCAGCATAGATCCCATCTTTATGTCCCTAACGGAGTGGTCATTATTTGTGACGGGGGGGGGGGGTGGGGGTTAAAGTTTAACCACAATTTTTTGGTTACTGAGTTGATTTCTCCCATTTAGCACCCCTCCTCATAAATGAAAACTCCCTAACCCTAAATTTTGTCTTTTGTGTTCCAAGATTTTGACACAGAAAGAAGAGGACCTGGGTAGTTTGAACAATGATAATGATTTTGTAGATTTCCTGTCAGATGTTGGAATCTTGGAGAGAATAAACGTAAGGCCATCTTTATGTGACAACTTGCTTTTTTTTATTGCTTGATTACTAGCAGATTGCACTGTAAATTACTGTTAACTTTGCAGTGTCAGGGGTGGATCCAAGATTTTACAAAGGGGCGGGGGGGTGGCTAACTCCAAAAATGTTGAAAGAATAGGTCTAGGGTTGCAGACAACTCTATGAGTCCAGAAAAAAATTAATATCAATTGTGAAATTAACTCGACATCTCAGACACTTCTAATATACATTCAGGTATGTTTCTTTTTGACTAAAATAACTAATCATTTTCTTTTTTGGTATCTTTTAAAAACCCTGGAAAGAGGGGGGTGGCTAGCCACCCAATCCACCCCCTGGATCCACCCCTGAATGTAAGGTAAACCAGGTTAACCAGGAGTGTAAGGCCTACTCTCTAAGACTCTTTTCAGGATCTGAAACCACTCTCTCTTACATCATGGCCCCTGGCTCTTGCGTAGTTCACACCCATTCCATCCCCAAGGGATACAAACACAACACAAACTGAAGAATGTGCAACAAGACATTCTATTACATTTATGACTATTTAGTTGATAAATAGTTTTCTCACCAGAATTTGCTTGTTTTAAAGATGGAAAACAGGCAAGGAGTAGTCCAGTCAATAATGCTTCATTTCATCATAAACAAGAAAAAAGTGTGTCTGGACCAGTTCCGAGAGGGCCTCAATATCTTGGGATTCCTTGAGGCAGCAAAAGCTTTCCCAATGAATTATGAAAAGTACTTTGTACAACATGATGATGAGCTGACGCCAGAGAAAGTAAAATCGATCTTGTCTTTGCCAGATGTAGACGGCACTCCAGCCATGCTAATGAAATATTTAGATGAATGTTCCTTGAAAGGTACACTTAATATTTGCCTAATGACATGAATTTCATGTGTTCATTAAGACATACAAGAATAGCCGGTAAAACAAAGTTTTGTTAATCTCTTTACAGATCTTCAGCAGTTTCTGAGATTCACCACGGGTTCAGGCAACCTACCACGTAAAGGTGCTGGTTTGAGCAAAATTGAGGTGAAACTTGATGGAAACGATTGCATATTTTCATCTACATGTTTGCAGCACCTCCACCTGCCGCAGCAATTTGACTCCTTTCAGTCATTCAAGGAGTCAATGTATGCTGTTATGGGAGACATGGGATACTCCTTTAATGTGGCCTAGATGTACAAGTAGCACAGTACTCAACACACACAGCATTTTGCAAAGATTCTGTACAATTTAAATATAACAAAACCCAGCGATTTAGGAACTAGGCATGCACTGCATTATTTGTCAAAGTAACATTGCCAAGAACTTTTTATATATTAAGTCTATTCAAAATTAAATATGTTCTGGGGAGATGAAATAGGCTATTTTTACAAGGCATTTTAAACATCTTTCAAACAAAGTCCATTTTTCTATATTTTTGAGAGAAATACTGATATTAATGATCTTTAAACATTTAATGCAGACATTCAAACTGTCAGTTTGACTTTAAAAGGAAAAGTGCAATTTCAGACACTATTTTCATTTATAGATTTATAGGGATTTTACAGAATTTTAGCTTAATGCAATACTTTATATAGCTGTTATGTACATTTATTATATATATGGCCTAATTCAAGGCAAAACATTGTTGGGTTACCGGTAGCTTATAGAAGCTAAGGCCTGGTTAACACTATGTCTAAGCATAATTGTGAGCAACATTATTTTGCAATTCAATGTCAAATTTATCACCATGGTGTTCCAAAAGACAAACACTGATAAGTGCATTACAGGGCCCGGTTGCATAAAACGTCCGTAACAACTACGGGTACACGTATGTGCACTCGTAACTTAAGTCAGTTGCATGAAATCACTTAAGTGGTCCACTTAGGGAATTCACTTAAGTGGTTGCACTTACGATTTTCATAAGTGTTCACTTAAGTGTCGTTTATGCAACAGAAATTGCGGGTGTTGCATAAAACTTTTTTTACGGGAAAAATAGCACGTAAATTTACGGGACCTATGTAGGTCCCGTATCGTCACTGTTTTTACTAAATTTAACGAGATCTTTTACTGAGAAGTGAAAAAAAGTATTTTTCTTCACGTAATTCGTTCTAATGCTCTTTGTTAACCTCTGATGTACACTTTTGCGAAAAAAGAAGAAGAACTATCATTTTCAGTAGATATTGAAGAAAAATAACGTTTGCATGCAAATTTCATTTTTTGAGAGGCTTAAAAGTGTTGGAAACGACTTTTAACTTTCTTTACACTCACCGATGGTTAGCTTAAAAAAACGAGTGAATCGTTAATAAAGTACTATATCAAGGTTACGTGTGCCCTTAAGTGAGCCCGGAAGTTACCACGTAAAACAGAAACTTACGAGAGTGCTAAGTGTGTTCCATGCAACACCCGTAAGTGTACCCATAACGGATTCGTAAGTGACCTACTTAAGTGAGCACTTAAGTGCAGGTTTTATGCAACCGGACCCAGCGTCTCTGTTTGTTGCTTATAACTGTGATTATGGCACTGGTTTCCAGCTTTTTAAAGACCAAAGGTCTTCTGGGTAGTCAATATCCTATTTGGAGAATGTACAGAAGAGGAACTATATTCACTGTTTGTTAGCTTGAATATTCCTTCCAAATCTGCAAATTTCAATGTGTAACAATATTAGCCTCATCTGTTTTCGCAGAAGAGCTTTTGGTCTTTCAACGAAATGATATTATTTTCAGTTAGGTGTTTGTACTTTTCTCTTGTTGTTCCAGTTCATTTTAAAGTGTTTGAATTTTTATTAGTTATTGGTAATGCAACAGAGTTAACCCATGATGGTGGGTAGTGTAAGCAGAGAGTGGGAATTTGATAAAATCCTTTTAAAATATTCGAAAAGCTCAGGGGCTGGAGAAGGTTTAAAGAAAAAAAATTGTCAACTAAATAGCAGGATTACTTATCTAATTCCCAACCCCAGGGCACATGTTTGCTATTGAATCCCCATATTTTTCCTGCACTCCCCCTTTCCTCACAGGGTCTTCTTTGATAGCAGTCCCACAAGTCATTCAATGAAAGTGCAAGAGCTAACCCATGTGTCTGCTGATGATTTTTCGGACTCTCTCATAGAATTCAATGCCATAGTTATTAGCAGGCTGAAGAGGATTGATCTGAGCTATTTGATCCAGTTTTTGCTGAGTCAAATCATCTAGTTCTGTAGGTGGGATTTCCACATCTAATAGGTCAAACTGATTTGATTCTGGGCCATCGGGGTCTATTCCAAAGAATTCTATATTGACATCTTGGTTGTCGCTGCTATAGAAATCTTGCACAGCTGTTTCTCTGGCATGTTCTGATGACAGGATACCATTGGTACAGATCATTAATGGTGTCCAATGATGTTCTGTATGCAGGCTGTGGTTGTTGTAAGCATCTTGAAACTGTTTAAGAGCTCTGTTGATTAATGGTACAAAAACGAAGTGCAATGCATATAGGTCGGTATCTAGTTCACAATCCAGCAGTCCATTATCTTCAAGAAAATAAAAGAGAGAATAGTATAGTTGTAACACATGAGAAAATACATCTCTCCACAGCCTCTCAATCCTTTGATTGTGTACACTCGTTCCTGCGATGTGACTTCCTCGATTAAGCCACCGATTTTCAATCATGAATTTGGCCACATCAATGTTTTCTCCTCCACGGTCAGAGCGAACCCGTGATGGAACTCCATATTTGGCAATGGCTTCTTGAAATAAAGTGAAGACAGTATCTGCCCGGTTATTTGTACTACAATGGAGATAAGTAATGAGCCTTGAAAAGCCATCAATCCCGCCATGTACTACAATCCTCCATCTGATTAGGCTGTGGTGGCCATCAATGTGCCACAAAGCATTTGGGCCAGGAACACTATATGAACGCCGTTGTATAACCCTCATTCGCCTCATGCACACGTTAATAGGATCCACTCTAATCATGGATAATCGAGCCCTTTCCCGTAGGACAATGATTCCTAGTCTTTTGAGGTGACCCCTTAGCAAGGTCAAACCTGAGTTAGGATACGCTGCAACCATATCACGCATGATTCCATCGAGCTCCTAATCACTTATTTCGGAATATTGTTGACTACAGGTAAGACCTAATTGATGACATCTACGCCATAGCGTTGACCTTGAGATACACAACATGACAGATATTGCATCCCAAGTAAAGCCAATGTTGCGTAGGCAATCAATCTGTTCTCCACTCACATTTATCTGGGGCCGTCCTACCTTTCCTTGTGTTTCTTCCTTATCAGGGGCAACACGATTATTAACAGTATGGGCCACAGAACAACAGTGATTTCTTCTCCAAGCACGATTCTGCCAACTTTCGAGGAAAACTAACAAGTGCTGGTATAAAGACGACAAAGCTGTATAGTTACTTGTTGATCGGTGCATCAGTTGATTCGTGGTATCACTCGCACACTGGAGGCGACTTATCATGCTGTCAATGACATCAGGATTTTGGGTTTCACTGAGTCTTTCCATATCATTTAGTAATGATT